CAAAATTCATTGAAAAAAAGCTCTGATGTCTCCAGAGTAAATAGACTGATTGAGCACAGCTCCGCAGTCTCCAAAGTAGATAAATTGATTTAACACAGCTCCGACTCAAAAAAAAATAATTTCGCAAAGAATTACTTGATTCCAAGTTTTTCCTGAATTTGAATCCCCTATTTCATCTTTAATGATTAACTCAGTGTGAAAATCAGAATCAGAAAACAGGCTTATTCTTGAAAATTTTCTGTTCGGTATAAAACATATTAAAATAATTAAAACAATGATCAATATTTACCCATGGTTTTTATCTAAAATCTTTTATAATCGACCCCCCTCCCCACGCAGCTGGTAAAAAATATTATTAAAAAAACTCTTTAACGTTTTTCATTAAAATTAAATGATTTTTACAAATGTTTTAGAACTTTCCTCTCATGAAGTTAAAATGTATTTATCAGAAAGTGGAATTGAAATTTTGGGAAAGGTAAAAAGAAACCAGCAATAATTACTAATTTTACTCAGCTAGGTTGCTTTTTACAGAAAGTCCCAAGACACAATAGATAAAAATTATTACAAAAAAGAAAAACCTTTATGTCAATTCTATGTAACAGTTTATGTATCCTCTACAGTAGAGAAGGGAAGGATTTCTTTATTATAAAAAAATTGGGCCTAAAACTTTCCAATTGTAAAGCAAGAAACTTTAACTTGATCCAGAATGCATTAGAGGAGACTGATAAATGGACAAACAATAGTTGACAAGTGTGTTAAATGGGAAATATCGTAATGGAGAGGTTGGCAGAGCAAGGAAATATCCAAGGAGGATAAAAACTGAGGGTCGTATATTTTCTTAAAAAATCAACCCCCCCCCCTCTTTGAAAAACCTTTCCCCCTTGAAGTTGGAATTTTCTTCGCTGAATTTGGAAGATAAATTGTCAAGGGTTAGTAAAAATTCAAATATTTTATCAGAACTATGTAAACACTAATTATACACACCTTACAACCCCTCCCCCCCCCATACAAACACAATGCGGTTCTATGCTTTAAGAATAGGAAACTTTTTCAATATTATCTTATATTTCTGTATTTTTATTAATTTTTTTCATAAATCTTTAAAATAATCATTAATCTTTAGATTACTTGCTGTAGTTGCAAAATAATCACATTTAGAGCAAGGGTATATTATTCCTTCATGTTTAATTTCAACATGAGTAATTGCTGTAGTTGCGGCACAAGAACATTGTTTACAAGTATATCTTACTCCTTCATGTTTATGGGCTTTTAGATTGCCTGCTTGAGTTGCAACATACTCAAACTCTTGTGACCAAGCTGTCCGCGTAAGCATTAAGAAGTTGAAACGGCAGTAGTTCAAACAAATATCCACCTGTATTCAATCAATCAATTTCCTCTTGAGACATCGGAGCTATATTCAATCAATCAATTTACCCTGAAGACATTGAAGTTGTGTTTAATCAATCAATCTACTCTGGAGATTTTAGAGCTGGGTTCAATCAATCAAGAGTTTAGATGTAGTCCTTATCTTAGTTTTAAGAATATGTATGACAAACATATTTCTTCAATGTGATAGGTGTCAGGGGCGCCGAGATCCCTGGTGAAGGTGTCAGGGGCGCCAAGATCCCTGGTTTAACTTAATGNTATAGAGAATATATTTCCAGGATGGATATAGAGAATATATTTCCAGGATGGATATAGAGAATATATTTCCAGGATGGATATAGAGAATATATTTCCAGGATGGATATAGAGAATATATTTCCAGGATGGATATAGAGAATATATTTCCAGGATGGATATAGAGAATATATTTCCAGGATGGATATAGAGAATATATTTCCAGGATGGATATAGAGAATATATTTCCAGGATGGATATAGAGAATATATTTCCAGGATGGATATAGAGAATATATTTCCAGGATGGATATAGAGAATATATTTCCAGGATGGATATAGAGAATATATTTCCAGGATGGATATAGAGAATATATTTCCAGGATGGATATAGAGAATATATTTCCAGGATGGATATAGAGAATATATTTCCAGGATGGATATAGAGAATATATTTCCAGGATGGATATAGAGAATATATTTCCAGGATGGATATAGAGAATATATTTCCAGGATGGATATAGAGAATATATTTCCAGGATGGATATAGAGAATATATTTCCAGGATGGATATAGAGAATATATTTCCAGGATGGATATAGAGAATATATTTCCAGGATGGATATAGAGAATATATTTCCAGGATGGATATAGAGAATATATTTCCAGGATGGATATAGAGAATATATTTCCAGGATGGATATAGAGAATATATTTCCAGGATGGATATAGAGAATATATTTCCAGGATGGATATAGAGAATATATTTCCAGGATGGATATAGAGAATATATTTCCAGGATGGATATAGAGAATATATTTCCAGGATGGATATAGAGAATATATTTCCAGGATGGATATAGAGAATATATTTCCAGGATGGATATAGAGAAAATATTTCCAGGATGGATATAGAGAATATATTTCCAGGATGGACATAGAGAATATATTTCCAGGATGGAAATAGAGAATATGTTTCCAGGATGGATACAGAAAATATATTTCCAGGATGGAAATAGAGAATATATTTCCAGGATGGATATAGAGAATTTGTTTCCAGGATGGATAAAGAGAATATATTTCCAGGATTAATAAAGAGAATTTGTTTCCAGGATGGATATAGAGAATATATTTCCAGGATGGATATTGTGAACATACTGAGAATATTGAGAATATTGAGAATATTAATATGAGATATTGAGAATATATTTCCAGGATGGACATAGAGAATATATTTCCAGGATGGATATTACTTTTACTAATACTGAAAGACAACCTGTCATTCAATGATGTACGGGTCAGCGCTCCTCTCAGACCTAGCGTTTCCAAGGATAATAGCGTAATGAAAAGTGTTGGCAGAAAGAGGAAATATCTGGGCAGGAAAAAACCAGAAAGTTGTATATTTTCTTGAACCCCCCCCCCTCTCTTTGAAAAAACTTTTTTCCTCCAATAAATTCTAAACTTCTTTTGAATTTTCATCGCTGAATTTGGGAAGATAAATTGTCAATGCTTAGTAAAACTTCAAATATTTCATCAGTACTATGTAAACACTAAACATACACACCTCACAACCCTCCCCTCTATGCTTTAAGGGTAGTAAACTTTTCAAAATTACCTTTTATTCCTGTATTTTCCAGCTTTATATCATCTTCAGGTATATTCACAAAACATGTCTCCTCTACAGTAGAGGTTATCTCAGATTCCTTGACATCTACTTCTTTCTTCATAATCTCTG